AAAAAAAAAAAAAAAAAAAAAAAAAATAAAAAAAAAAAGAGGGAGTAAAAGGTTTTGCAAAACAAAGGGAAAATGAAGAATTAAACAAAAAGATAAGTGAAAAAAAGAAACTAAACTAATTTTTTTTAAACCTAAAAATCGCTTTAATTTTTCGCTGTTGTCATCGATAACGTCAATTCCTTCTTCCTTCTACGCCATCAACTCTTCGCTTTTTTCCTTCAAAATTGTAAAAATGTTGTGCATTTGAGGCTTCAGATTCTGATTCTTCAAAAAAAAAAGACACCAATCATGCATAGTTTAAACGGCGTTAGTAACAACAGAATAAAGACCACAACAAGAAGGTACAAATGAAACACTTTCTAAAAACTGCTGAAACATTTTCAAAATTGAAAAAGTTTTCCAAAAAACAACTGTGAATATACAGATGCTTGATTCTTTGCTTTTTCCCGATTCTTGCTATTCAACAATAATTGAAAAAAATTCACTAACAGACAACATTTATAATGAAAACTTAAATATTTACAGTCGTCCTAAAAATATATTGTACACCTTGTTCTATTTCATCTTCCCTATCCCAATAATTAATTTTCGATTACGTAGTCGAATCCTCTGAGATCTTAGAAATAAATAAGAAAAATAAATAGATAAAAATTCAAAAAAATAGAAAAATGAAAATAAAAAAAAGAGACTTACTCAGAAACCTAAATAATCAAACTAGATCCTCCAACACCAAAAACTTAAATAAAAAAACAAAAAGCCTTTTCCCCCATTCAAATATTCCTTTGCCAATATAAACTATCATTAGACGAAAGAAGGCGACGAAGATATTAACAGGAATCCACAATCTCGCTACTGAATTTTACACCAGCAAAAGAGAAAAAACCGGAATTGAAAAATGCTGACACTTGGTGCAGTCAGTGTAAATTTGTCGATAAACGAGACAAAAAATAAAAATCAAAACTTTTTACTGTTTCTTTTATCAATTTTAGCTGTTTCTGTTTCAAAAACAACAAGAAAATTGAACATCTCACTCACTATACTCCCTGTGGTACTGCTCCAATCCTTTTTTGTACATCATCCACGTTATTCAATAGAGGTAATGTTGAGGGAGACGGGTCGGAATTGTTATACTTAAAAATTGCTGCTGGTGAGTTTGATCGTTCAGCCGTTGGCCTTCCACAATCAGTACGTTGACAGTCATGACACAGGTTTTCGAAACAAGAACATGTCGAACGACGGAATGATTTTGCCAACAAAAAGTAGATAAAGAAGTTGACTGCGCTTGAAATAACGACTATAAGGTTACTGATTGCAACCAACAATGTTGCTGCCGGTGATAAAACAAAAATCTCACTGGTGACAATATGTTCGGCCACATCCAATGCCGTTGGCATCAGTCGTGACAGTAAAAATTTTGCCATTACGGCTAGAAGAATCAATTCACTATCCGCAATACGGTTCGCTCGAGATGACAACGATCGTGACATTACTTGACGCTCTTTTGCTGCAGCACGAAGTGCCAAAGAAATTTTTGCCGATAGTGCAAACAGTACAATATACGGTAATACAGAATAAAATACTAAACCACCAATAATACGGTAGTAAAATAAATAAAAGTGATTTTTACCTAAATCAGACTGTACAACATCAGAAAAGCCATCTTCATATTCCACGACAACAACTTCAAATAGCCGTGGTAATGAAAATACAATCGCTAAAACAACAACTGCAGCTAATATTTTATGCACCTTTGCAATCGACATTGCAGATGCTGCTAATGGCCTACAGAGTGCTCGATAACGTTCAAACATCAACACGCACATTAACCATACGGATGCAGTTAATGATGCATTACTCATCAAATACAGTGTTGGGAAAAACTTTGCGTAAGGACATAACGAAGATTTAAAAAATGATGGAAGCGAATACATTAAAAAACCACTAATAAGCAGCGCTGTATCAGAGATAGACAACCATAACAGATGCGTATATATCAGTGGTTTCGGATAAGTACTCCTTGTTCGTACCCAATTACTACCCAACACTGATGTACCAGCTTTAATGGTAAATGGAGTTCGATGTATCGACTTCAAACGACTTTTTATTGGTCGCATTAAAATGTAGATCGTTTCCACGTTTAATATAATGCCAACAACAACAAAAAAGGCTGTTACTGGTCCGTTCAATGTATTTACTAGTTCAGCTGTCATTGATTCTTAGTATTCATGAATATCAAGTTATTGAAACAACAAAATTTAATAACCACTTTATAATGCAACCACCAAATGTATCAGTTGATACGCAGCCGATTTTGATGCCAGTTAATTGTTTAGCCAAGTAAAAGACAGAGAAAATGTGCCGTAGAATCGAAAGAATTTGGGTGAGAGAATAAATTTACTTATGCAGGTTGAGTGTTCGACCCTTTGAGCTACTGTTACCGATCACGGTGTTCTTCTTAATTTTGGATTTTGCAGCAGCTTTCTCTCAGATAAACTTTTTCGGTTACCAACAGATAATTTGTGTCATAAGAATATCAAATACAGCATGGACGACAACTCAGCTTAGCTAGTTATAGGGCGGAGACTTCTACAAGAAGCCAGAACAAGTACTGCCGCTGTTGCTTGCACGCTGAAATGTCCAGAGTGGGTTGCCTTGTATGCTTTACGCAACTATCCAAAGACAAGTGCCTCTTCCTAGATCCCCCTCTTTCCTTAGCTCAAAACCACGCCCCATATTAACTGTCCAGTATTTTGAAAACTTAAAAAGAGTGGGGTAAAAAAAAAATAAAAAAAGTATTTATACATGCAAATGCGTATACAAACGCAGAGAGGAAAAAATCAATTGAAATTAAAATTTCCGTAATATAGCAATAGATCTTTCAAAAAAGCAAATCATCTTCACAAGCCGCTACACATTTTTTGCTCAAATGGTGAAAAATCAAAGCACGGTGATAGCATCATGATTATTAGGTGTACTTGAGCGCCAACAAAAACAAGTTCGATGAGGATGACGATAATGACGGAGATGACGAAACAAAAAAACCGATATTTAGAAGGCAGTGAAACAAGAAGAGTTTAGGACCTTAAAAATAGTTTAACTAAAAATTGCGAGCCTTTACAGAGAGTAATATTACAAACAAATTAGAATGCTGAACAGCCGGCAACAAAACTGTTTTCGTGAAATCACACAACATATGCAGAACAAAACTACGCCGCATTAGCTCAAGTAAACCAAGGATTTACTGCATGCAATGTTTCCTGATTACGTGCTTCTGGTATTTATAAATAACTAATGCAACCAAACTTCTCCCCCATTTTAAACACCCCGTTCTACATCATAAAGCTTGAATAAAAGAAGAGATCAGAAAAAATAGAAAAAAACAAGAGGAATATTACAGAAACAAGTGTTAAAAAAGAGTCAGAGAGATGGTGGTAATAGCAGAAGTAATTGTGGGAGGAAAAGCTTAAAAAGTTCGTTAATACCTTTTCAACACTAAGAAACTTCTAAAAGTCCTTAATGTAAATTACTGAAATTTAATAGTCTGTTTTTTTTTCTTTGTTATTTTGCTTAATGAAAAATTGATACTGTTTAATATTCGCCCAATTAAACAACAACAACAAGAAAAAAAAGCATCCGCTCCAATAGCGGATATCAAATTTGCCATATTCTTCCCCTTAATACTTTCTTCCATTTTTTTCATCCTCTTTTCTGACTAAGCAGCTTATTATTTTAGTGCCAGCACAGTTGTCATTAACATTATTGCTCTTGGTTTTCATTAACAATCAGTCTGATCGTTCTGTCGCAGCAAAATTATTGCTTTGAAATGCAAAAAATAAAAAGTGAGATTATCGTAAGTGACAATTCAGTGCTCAGTTGAACAAGCACTTCCATATTTTTACCCTAATCCCTTTTTCCAAGTTTTTATCATCACTGTGGTGTCCAGGGTGATATTGAAATACATTTCCCACAAAAAATCAAACTAAATTAATGAAACAAACTATTCTTCTTCCCCAACCATCTTCTCCTCCATTACAAATGTTTGTGTTTTCCGTTCCAGTATATCACTCATCCGTCAATTTTAAATGAACTGTATTGAGACAGCGTGATTCACCAAAGAAAGAAAAAAGATAAAGAAGGCAAAGGGCCATTAAAAAAATCTATTTGTAAAGCCCTTGACACGTGACTAATCTTTCTTCATTTTTTTTCTATCAATTTAAACATTCCAGATTAAAAAAATCAGTATGTAGAAAAAAAGCAATTTTCCGATATGGATCGCATAGGTGATGCTTCTTTCCCACTGCCCAAAATAAACCACTGATAAATGATTGCAAACGGGGCAAGCTGATTCAAAAATAGATATAAAAAATCCCATAAAACTAAAACTACTAATGTCACCAGAAATGCTGACAAACTTCATCTGATAAGTTCCTGTATCAATTTATGTAAATAACACTTCCAAAAGTAAATACTTTCAATGTTATAGCTTCCACTCTTCACTAGTAGTTAGACTTATTTTTGTAAACTTTTGAAAAGCCTGCAATTTAAGCAAACTATATACATATAGTCTTACATTTCTTCACATTGCCTTCACCAACAATAGCAACTACGAGAACAACAGAAAACACTGAAGAAACGAAATGAAAAGCCTCTATCCTCTGCTTCCTTTTTTCAAGATAGATAAAAGCCAAACGGTAAGAAAATATTGATGTATTAATGAGATCCGTAATGATAGATTTACTTAGAAAAATGAACCATTACAGATAAACCGAACTAAGAAAAAATATAAAGAAAAAACAAATTTTTCCTTTACAGAGCCAAAAACTTCTCAAACTCGAACCTACTGACACCTAAATTACCTCAAACTTTGAAAATTTTTTTAAGTTTCTCCCCGGCACTTTGAGCTGTTGAACAAAAACGCAATTAAAACACTTTTTTGTAAATATGAAAGCTGAAAAAATAGACAAGTCGTAAAAACTGCCCGGTGTAAAGCACTATTACTTTTCTTTTAACAAGAAATTTTAACTGCATACCCTGTTCATCAAATTCAAAAACACCTAAAATCTTCAAGCAAACGCTGATTATTCTTGTTTCCACAGACACACACAGAGACACACACAGAGACACACACAAACACACACACACACACACACACACACACACACACACACACATTGTGGAATTTCTTAACACAAAAAAGTCTTAGATTTTTATTGAATATTTTTTACACTTTTCAAAGCCCGACGCACTTAATCTTTGCTAACATCACAGACAATGTTCCGATTTGATTTCAATTCAGCAACACAAACCATTAACGGGTTATCAACAGATTTTGCAAATTCTTCTGCACAAATAAAACCTTCGCGGTATCAAACGAAAGTTACGCAACTTTACTTAAGCACTCCGTAAAACAAAACTCAAATGTCGGCTATTCTCTACAAGCTTCTTCGAGAACTTTTAACTGAAGATACTAAACTTACGTTTTCTAAGACGAGCAAAACAAGCAAACCAATAAAGCGAAAGCAGGCTAACATTGTCAAAAATACTAAATTTTTCAACCATTACTTTTCCAATCTTCCAAAAAAAATTTTTTTTGATTCAAAAAAGCCTACCGTCCAATGTCCTCACATATCGGTGTTGAACCATCTAACATTAACAGCATGTTTGTTAATAATGAACGTTTACCTCTTTCCACGTCTTTTTCCGAAATACTTTCGCATAACTCGGCCCTTAAAACATGCATAGTTCGTTGACTGCAACAACAGAAAATAACATGAGTAATAAAACTGGGCGGACCATTGTTTTGTAACTCCATCGACAACTGCTTTACAGCCTCCTTCCTCACAAACAAAATATAGACCAACTAGTCCAGTATCCTTATAACAAGTATTGAAGGCTTGAAATGACTGAACGTTTGCATTTACACCTAGTGATTCTGCTAATTTAGATGGTGTATTGATTCCAGTCCCATGAGTCCGGTCCCACTGACCAATAATCTAAAGAAACTTGCTATAAAAAAACTTTTTGATGATTACTATAAAAATTAATTTAAGCAAAGTATAACACTGAACCATAAAACTGCTTTGAATTATAAAAAATTTGAATATTCTTTCTCTTTTTGAGTTTGGATTCAGACGAACAGTCTAAAACAGTCTCAGACAGAGCACCATAATTGACCTTAGTTACATAGAACTATGCTTTAGGAAAACACTTGCCTAATTAATACAAATATTACTAAAAAACTTTAAAGTTCTGGGAGAACTAAGAACTCAAAAAAAGTTGAACAGGGTATGATGCATTAAGACTTTAAAGTCAAGACTAGTTCTAGACCTAAAAGAACAGTACCGTAAAGGAAGACTTAACAATAAGACGAAACTTAAGATAAAGAAATCCCGTAAGCTTGTAAAAACCCATCGAAGCTACAAAGTTAGTCAAAAAATAAGGTTTTGAAAACAAAAGAAATATTTTGAATTACATCACCAGAACACCAATAACTCACTTAAAATCCAAAAGTAACAAAATGATTGTGAGAAGTACTCTCGCCAAATGACCAAAAAATCTTCACTAATAACAAATTCTGTTTTCTGGATAGTAAATATGTGTGAGAGCAAAAGCACGAATGACCTAAGCAGGTTTTTTTAAAACAACTTACAAACTACAGAAAATCTTCATTTGAATAAACGTAAATCCGCATCAACTATACTCCTACAATGTTATAATTTGCTTAGTTTCCAAATCCTTCCAAATTCTTACACATAAAACATAGTAAAAATGAAAATAATCCTCAAAAAAAAAAACTGTACTCCAAAAACTATTAAAACTCTTATTTCCATTACTCTAATGCATAAAACCAAACACCAGAGCAATAAACATTAAGATCAGAAGATTATGGCACCAAAATCAGATTTAACTGGATGGTGGATTCCAACAGTAATCAGAGTTCTTGAAAAGAAAAATATAAATAAAAATTTTTGAACCGCACTCAAAATGAAACTTTTTAAAAATCTGAAATTTTTGAAAATGCAGCTTCCATGAGGAAGCAAAAATTAGATCATTTCTTTAATACCAAAAAAAACTATTAAATACAAAAATAAATTTCCTAAAACAATTATGAAATACTTTTTCCCCGAGAAATGCTAAAAACCCATGCTTAAATGACTAAACACCATTAAAACAAAGTCACATTCATATTTCAAAGCTGTCAGATTTTTGAAGTACACCAAAAACAGCCTATAAATGCGAAGTGTAAACAAAAGGGTTTTTACTTGAATCAAAGCTGGTTAATTAAAATTAAAAAAAATGGCACTAAACTAAGTGACAACAATTCGACTCACTGTTCACTTTGGACAACATCCAATTATAAATTCTGAACATTGGCATTAAATTTTTTGAAACATCACCAAAACAAATCTATACATTATTTCAAAAAAAAGTTTTACAAAATTTCAGTCTAAACAACCTACATAAATAAACATCACGAAGAGTTACATCGGCTTACCGTATTAGCTACCATTAATGGAATATTGTCAGGATGTGTCCAAGAACAACCTTCAACCGCTAGAGCCCCATAAACCATTTCCATACGGTCATCTTTCAGTTCCTGCTGAAATTGTTTTTAGTAAAAGTAAATGTGACCAATGTAATGCGTACACTACAAAAAATAAGAAAATTACTTGATTGTTTGAAAACAAATAGTGCTGATAAAGCTGGAGAAAAAACTAATTCACATGTCTAAGTTACAACAGATAAAAACCTTTAAGCCAAACATTAGTACCAAACTACTCTATAATACTAGAAGTTAAATTTCTAAAAGCTTAATTGAGAGCTACAAACCCAAAAGTAGACTTCAAAACAATCATGTCGCCATTTGAAAACTTTTTATTTCTCAAAACAGGATTTAATACAACCATTTTAGCAGTTTAAGACAGTTAAGGAATATTACGGTAGTGGAATGCAGCCTTTCCAATCCTAAAATCCAAGAAAATAGATCACTTTAAAAAGTACGGCAAAAAATTTGGGAAGAAAAGTTTAGAAGATCCTATTCAATTAACCAGTAAAAGAACATCATAAAAAACTGTCATCCCACCGGTTCTTTCTCCTATCACATTTCTGCCTATTGAAATACTACAGATCAAGAAAGCCCAAAAATTCCTTGACCACAAAAAAATTAGTCGCGCTAAAGAATGAACTAAATAGATAAAAGAACATTTTTCCAGCGCAAAAAAAACGAGATTAGTAAAGGAATATACAGCATTTAACACTGTTACTAACAGTGCATTCAAACGCTTTTTAGTCTGGATCCTGGAATGTTCGAACAGTAAAACTGACCTGAGCCAAGTGTGACATTTCTAAACAAAACTAATAAAGTTCAAAAAACCAAAGAAATTATTTAAATCTCAAAAAGTATGAAAAATTTTCAAACTTACATTCTACAGCAAAAGAGTTAGTAAACACCCAAAGTTTTAATTAGCGACTAACGCCGAACAATTCTTACGAGTAGTTTTTTAGAGGTCTTATTTTACAGCGGGCAACAATGTAAGCTCCTTTACTCCCTCTAAAAAATAAAGAAGCCCAAACACTCAAACCACATAAAACTGCTCTTAGAATCACAACAGCCTTTTAAGAAATTTCGCCTGGTCACACCAAGCAAAGTTTGTCTTTTAGAGTAAAACACAAATCAAA